TTATTCAACTAAAAATATGTTGGTTCTCTCTTACCATGAACACTTGGTTGATATGCCTTCTCTTCTTAAGACTTTTAATATGACAGTTGTATTTAAAAATCTTGATACAATAAAAAAACTTTTGATAAAGAATTCCCCCCAAAATGCTGACTGATGTGTCTATAAGATTCCTTGTAAAATTTGCGATAAAGTTTATTACGGTCAAACTGGTAAAAGTCTCGAACTTAGATTAATACAACATAAATATAGCATTAGAACTAACATAAGAAGACATAAGAAAGGAGGATCACTGCAGCAGGCCTGTTGGCCCATACTAGGCAGGTCTTTTACAATCCATCCCATTAACAAAACATTTTCCCAACACAATTTTCAATGCTACCCAAGAAATAATCTCTGATAACTCTATCCACTCATTTGCAAGTCCCAATCAAATCCAACCCCTCTCACTCATATATTTATCCAACCTAAATTTGAGTCTACCTAAAATCCTAGCCTCAATAACCCAACTAGGTAGACTGTTCCACTCATCAACTACCCTATTTCCAAACCAATACTTTCCTATGTTCTTTCTAAATCTACTACTTGTCTAATTTAAATCCATTACTGCAGGTTCTTTCTTGGAGAGACATCCTCAAGACCTTATTAATATCCCCTTTATTAATACCCATCTTCCACTTACACACTTCGATCATGTCTCCCCTCATTCTTCTTCTAACAAGTGAATGTAATTTAAGAGTCTTCAATCTTTCTTGATAGGGAAATTTCTAATGCTATGTATTAATTTAGTCATTCTACGCTGAATGTTTTCTAACAAATTTATATCCATTCTGTAATATGGAGACCAGAACTGAGCTGCATAATCTAGGTGAGGCCTTACTAATGATGTATAAAGCTGCAGTATAACCTCTGGACTTCTGTTGCTTACGCTTCTTGATATAAATCCCTAGTAATCTATTTGCCTTATTACGTACGCTTAGGCATTGCTGTCTTGGTTTAAGGTTGCTGCTTACCATAACCCCCAAGTCCTTTTCACAATCTGTATGGCTAAGTTCTACATTATTTAACTTATAAGTGCTAGGGTTATGGACACTCCCAAGCTTCAGAACCTTGCATTTATCTACACTGAACTGCATCTGCCACTTTTCTGACCAAGAATAGAGTTTGTCTAAATCCTCATGAAGTTCCCTAACATCTACGTTTGAATCAATTATCCTACCTATCTTTGTGTCATCGGCGAATTTGCTCATATCACTACTAATTCCTTCATCAAGGTCATTGATATATATTATAAACTACAACGGGCCTAAGACTGATCCCTGTGGTACGCCACTTGTTACAGATCCCCACTCGGACTTAACCCCATTTATGGACACTCTCTGCTTCCTGTCTGAGCAATGACTCGATCCACGAGAGAATTTTCCACCAATGCCATGAGCTGCCACTTTCTTTAGCAGTCTTTGGTGTGGAACTCTATCAAAAGCCTTACTAAACTCTAAGTAAATAATATCAAATTCTTTATCATGATCAACAGCCTCAAAAGGTTTACTGAAGAAAGTTAATAAATTAGTTAGACAAGAACGGCCTCTCGTGAATCCATGCTGAGTATCATTAATCAAGCTATGCTTATCGAGATGGCTTCTTATAGTCTCAGCTATAACTGACTCTAGTAATTTGCCTAAAATTGAGGTCAGGCTAATTGGGCGGTAATTTCACGGTAACGACTTGTACCCTGCTTTAAAAATAGGAATTACATTAGCCATCTTCCACATATCAGACACTACACCTGTTTGAAGAGATAAATTAAAAATATTAGTTAATGGTTCACAGAGTTCCATTTTACATTCCTTAAGAACCCTTGAAAAAACCTCATCAGGTCCCGGTGACTTATATTGCTTCAGTCTGTCTATCTGCTTCACAACCATTTCACTAGTGACTATGATGTTACATAATTTATCTTCTTCAGGCCCATTATAAAAATTAATTACTGGAATATTATTAGTGTCTTCCTGTGTAAAAACCTTGAGAAAATAATTATTTAAAATGGAGCACATTTCATTCTCTTTGTCAGTAAGATGCCCATAGTTATTTTTAAGGGGACCTATCTTATCTCTAACTTTTGTTCTATAGACCTGGAAAAAACATTTTGAGTTAGTTTTCGAATCCCTAGCAACTTTAATTTCATAGTCCCGTTTAGCTTTTCTTATCCCCCTTTTAATGTCCCTCTTAATGTCAATATACTGATTCATAAGATGACCCTCACCTCTTATGCCCTAGTAGATGTTTCAGCCTATTATTCATCCATTTTGGGTCATTTCTATTCGATCTAATTTCTTTATATGGGATAAACGTTCTTTGAGCAGCATGTATAGTGTTCAGAAAACTGTCATATTGATAGCTCTATTTGTTACCCCAGTCAACAGATGATAAGTGTTCTCTAAGCCCATCGTAATCTGCTAAGCGAAAATCTGGGACTGTTACTGAGTTATCCCTACTATCATACTTCCATTCAATGCTAAATGTAATTGATTTGTGATCGCTAGCACCCAGTTCCTCTGAAATTTCTAAATTATTAACAAGGGATTCATTGTTTGCCAGAACTAAGTCAAGCAGGTTATTTCCCCTTGTAGGTTCTGTCACAAACTGCTTCAAAAAACAATCCTGAACTACTTCTAAGAAGTCATGTAATTCTAAATTCCCAGTCAAGAAATTCCAATCAATATGACTAAAGTTAAAGTCTCCTAGAATTACTACATTATCGTGCCTTGTGGCCTTAACAATTTCCTCCCACAGTAGTTTCCCTTGGTCCCTATCTAAGTTTGGGTGACGGTATATCACACCTAAAATCAATTTTTCATGCCCCTCTGAAAATTTTATCCAAACAGACTCTGTATGTGTTACTTCAGACTTAATACCTGTTTTTATGCAACAGTTCAAGAGATCTCGGACGTACAGTGCCACCCCACCCCCCTTTCCCGATACTTCTATCTACTTGGAACAATTTAAAACCCTGAATGTGACATTCCGCAGGCATGTCCCGAGTTTTTTAATTAAACCACGTCTCAGTTAAGGCAAATACATCAATGTTACCTGCACTAGCAACTAATCTCAACTCGTCCATCTTATTCCTAGCACTACGGCTATTATCATAATAAACATTGAAAGACTCTCCTTTCTCTTTACCCGTCCTGCTCAGTTCTGTTTTTCTACTAAACCTATTATTGTTCTTCTCACCTAGTGTCACTGGCTTTTCAATATCTACCTCGTTCTGCGTATTTCTAGTTCCCCTAGAACTCATAATATTACTACACTGGGACTTCACTGTTTTCCTGTCAAAACCCATATCACTATTTCTAGTTTAAAGTCCTAACAGCTCCCTCCAGTGCAGTTGCCAGTGCCCCCACCCCAAACCTAGATAAGTGAACCCCATCCCTGGCATACATGTCATTTCTGCCATAGAAGAGGTTCCAGTTGTCAATGAATGTTACTGCATTTTCCTTACAGTATTTGTCCAGCCAGCAATTGACACCAATTGCTCTGAACAACCATTCATTTCCAACTCCTCTCCTTGGCAAAATACCACATATAACAGGGTTTCCACCCTTCCTCCTAATTATCTCTATTGCTGACCTATACCTGCTAATCAGATCCTCACTCCTACGTCTGCCAACATCGTTGCCTCCAGCACTGAGACAGATAATAGGATTGCTCCTATTACCTCTCATGATGTCATCCAGATGGCTAACAATATCCTCCATCCCAGCCCCAGCAAAGCAAACCCTCTGTCTCCTACTCCTGTCCTTCAAGCAGAACGCCCTATCCATATACCTAACTTGGCTATCCCCAACTACAACAATATTCTTACCTTCTTGGTGTCGTTCATCGTGACGTTCCCAGTAGTCGACTCGCATTCGTCGGGTAGCACTGAGAATGCATTAGATGTTTCCACAACAGTTTCCACAGCAGTCTCTTTCTTCTTCATCGTTTCTACCTTTCCATTCGTCTTCTTGATCGTCAACTTCGTTCCCTGCTGTCCAGCCACTGACCAGTTTCCCTTCTTGACCTGAGGACTCAAAACAGGAGGACTACTACGAATCTTCTTGTTTTCCTCGGTCAATCGCCGAATCTCCATCTTTGCCATCCTCAATTCTTCCTTAAGCTGTTGGTAAAGTTGCTCGATGGAGGGCATCTTGGTTCAGTCCGTAGAGAGCACACTCGACACGTCCTCACTGAGCTAAGTACAGGTCACCTCTGTGCTAAGTACAGGTCACCTCTGAGCTAAGTTCCAATGCTCTATTTATTCACGTGAGAGATTTTAACCATCCAATTGATTTTCAAAAAGTTGAAAAAGTTGTATCAAGCAAATCCATAGTTGACAGAAATATAATTGAATCTTGTTTCATAAAAAGCAGTTTTGAAAATAACATGAATATTTCCATTGGATTATATAAATTAGATTCATTTATAATTAATAAAATTTGGTTAGAGTTTAATAATACAATGGACAAATAATAAACCTTATTTCTTGTGTAGAAAAATTTCTTAGTGGGATGTCGTGAGGACCTGTCTAGTTGGACCAGCGGACCTACTGCAGTGTTCCTCTTTTCTTATGAGTCCTATATTGTCGCGCGTCAGGTGTTTCTTTGTTGTGGGAGTTGACTGTGAGGTGTGGTCTAAGCCCTTTAATTGCCTTCCTTTGATGTATTACTTTCATAGTTCCTTGACAATGTGAGTAGTCACGAAAGCGCTAGGAATTTCACTACTCTTTCACAGTGGTTGTTTTGCATATTTTAAAATCACCTGTTTACTGTGATCTTATTGTTATATATATATATATATATATATATATATATATATATATATAATTATATATATATATAATATATATATATATATATATATATATATATATAAAATATATATATATATATATATTGTAGGAGGCCCACCATGACTAACATTATAAGAGATATCAAGTTATTTTTTTCTTAATCATTTAACAGGTAGTGATCTTCACAGCCAACAGGATCAACATGCCGAGAGATTTTACAGACTTCGAGTTCAATTTTCTGACTTCTGATGATAGTGAGGAAATCATTAAGTTTCTGGACGAACAACTGGCACCTAGGGTTCCATTGGTAAGATACAATGTTCTCAGTATCATAAGTATTGATTTGTTAATTAAGTGTGAAATATTTCTAGAGCATCCCAGTAAAACATGCTGACACTTAATGAGGTTTTCCAGAGATTGTCTCATATATAGTGCTGAACAATTCTCTTTTTTCAAATATTATTTTCCTTCACAATATTATTCTTAATATTACTAGTCTTTCTTCTTCCTTCAACAAACCGGCCGTATCCCACCGAGGCAGGTTGGCTCAAGAAGTAAAGTATACAGCAGAAGGGGTTACTAACCCCTTGCTCCCGGCATTTTACTAGCCTCTTACGACACCCATGACTTATAAAGGATGAATTCTGTTCCACTTCCAAATGGAGATAAGAGGAAATAAAGAAGAACAAGAACTAGTAAGAAAATAGAAGAAAACCCAGAGGGGTGTGTATATTAATACTTGTACACGCATGTGTAGTGTGACTTAAGTGTAAGTAGAAGCAGCAAGACGTACCTGAAATCTTGCATGTTTATGAGACAGAAAAAAGACACCAAGAATCCTACCATCATGCAAAACAACTACAGACTTCCGTTATACACTCACTTAGCAGGACGGTAGTACCTCCCTGGGTGGTTGCTGTCTACCAGCCTACTACATTATTATTATTATTATTATTATTATTATTATTATTATTATTATTATTATTATTATTATTATATAAATCTTAAACTCGTGTGAGTCATTCAACAATTCTGTATTTTTTCCTCCAGATCAAAGCCACTGGAGAAACCTCTGCGAGTTTATTAGGAAAGATATATATGAGAGATGTTCTGAATTGCTTGGAATCAGGATTGTCTTTTGCTGCCCGACACAAGACCACCAAAACTATCGCAGGAGTCGCACTCAGTGAGATCTTCTCCTTGGAAGAAACACTTAAAGTTGCTGCAATGGTAAGTTGTCTTTATTCTTTAAAAAGAGTTATTGTTATCAAAGAAGCTTTATATATTTTTTTTTCAGAATTGGCCAGATGCTAACATTCTTCAAAATCGCACGTAAATGAATGTAAGTGGTTAATTCTCATTCCCCCAAAAATAAATATTAATATATTTTTTTTCAATCAAAATTTCCAGTGATGAAGTAACTTTCAAAATGAGCTTGGTGCCCCGGGGTATGGTGCCCGGGGGTATGGTGCCCCGGGGTATGGTGCCCGGGGGTATGGTGCCCGGGGGAATGGTGCCCGGGGGAATGGTGCCCCGGGTATTGTGCCCGGGAGTATGGTGCCCGGGGGGATGGAATGGTGCCCCGGGTATTGTGCCCGGGGGTATGGTGCCCGGGGGAATGGTGCCCCGGGGTATTGTGCCCTGGGGTATGGTGCCCGGGGGAATGGTGCCCCGGGGTATTGTGCCCGGGGGTATGGTGCCAGGGGTTATGGATGCCAGGGGGTATGGTGCCAGGGGAATGGTGCCCCGGGGTATTGTGCCCGGGGTATGGTGCCAGGGGGTATGGTGCGGCGGGGGAATGGTGCCCCGGGGTATTGTGCCCGGGGGTATGGTGCCAGGGGGTATGGTGCCGGGGGAATGGTGCCGGGGGAATGGTGCCCGGGGTTTGTGCCCCGGGGGTATGGTGCCAGGGGGTATGGTGCCCAAGGGGTATGGTGCCAGGGGTATGGTGCCCAGGGGTATGTGTGCCGGGGGTATGGTGCCCCGGGGGTATTGTGCCCGGGGGGTATGGTGCCAGGGGGTATGGTGCCAAGGGGGTATGGTGCCAGGGGGTATGGTGCCGGGGGTATGGTGCCCGGGGGTATGGTGCCCGGGGGTATGGTGCCCGGGGGTATGGTGCCCGGGGGTATGGTGCCCGGGGGTATGGTGCCCGGGGGTATGGTGCCAAGGGGTATGGTGCCCGGGGGTATGGTGCCCGGGGTATGGTGCCCGGGGGTATGGGGTAACATTGCTTAGCTCCGGCTAAGCGCCCATACTTTTCTTGGGTCTAACTCGTGATAAAGTTCTGTGGACTCTGATACAGAGTTAGCAGGTTCGAGACCTGCTGTGGACGTAGAGACAATGTTTGTAAATAATTTCGCATGCTTGCCAATTGTTAAGCATATATAATATATATATAATATATATATATATATTATATATATAGATGTTGCCGAATAGGCAGAACTTGCGATCTTGGCTTAAATAGCAACGCTCATCTTGCCATATAAGACAAGCGAAAATTTGTGTATGTAATAATTTCGCCAAATCATTCTGAACCTAACGAAAAAAATATATTTCACTGTGTTTGTTTAGTATTAAATATTGTAAACGTATTTAAATGTATTTAGTTGGCTAGGCTAAAATAAATTGTTCTTCTTATAATAAGGTTAGGTAAGTTTTCTAAGATTCTTTTGGAGCAAAATTAATTTTTTTTACATTAACATTAATGAAAAAAAATATCTTTAAACGTATAAGAGAAAAATTTTAGAAAGACTTAATTTTAAACGAGTTTTTGCTAATTGGACTAGTTTTACATATTCGCACGACATATATATATATATATATATATATATATATATATAATATATATATATTTATATATATATATATATATTATATATATATATATATATATATATGTTATATATCGACCCATCGTGACTACTCACATTATCAAGGAACAATAAAAGTAATGCATCAAAGGAAGGCATATAAAGGGTCTAGACCACACCTCACTATCACATCCCACAACAAAGCAACACCTGACATGCGACTCATAAGAAAGTGAACACAGCAGCAGGCCCGCTGGCCAACTAGACAGGTCCTTCACACAAACCACGAACAAACTATTCTACCCAAGAACTAAGAATTTTAAAATTTATTATTTGTCCAATGTATTATTAAATTCTTCCTAAATTCTCTTAATTATAAATGGATCTAATTGATATAAACCAAAGGAAATATTCATATTATTGTCAAAACTGCTTTTTATGAAACAAGATTCAATTATATTTCTGTCGACCATGGACTTGCTTGATACAATTTTCTCAACTTTTTGAAAATCAATTGGATGGTTAAAATCTCTCACATGAATAAATAGAGCATTGGAATCTTGTCCAGTTCTAATGCTATATTTATGTTGTTTTAATCTTAGTTCGAGACTTTTACCAGTTTAACCCTAATAAACTTTATCGCAAATTTTACAAATAATCTTATAGACTCATCCGTCAGCATTTTGGGGGAATTCTTTATCAAAAGTTTTTTTTACTGTATCAAGATTTTTAAATACAACTTTGATATTAAAAGTCTTAAGAAGAGAAGGCATATCAATCAGTTTTTCATGATAAGGGATAACCAATATATTTTTAGTTGAATAAGGCTGGTTGTCCTTTTTTGGACTGTAAAAAGTATTTCTAGCAATTTTAAAAGATTTATCAATTACGTTTCTTGGGTATTTCAAATCATTAGCTATTTCATAAATTTTGGATATTTCCTCATCTATGAACTCTGGATTACAAATACGTAAAACTCTCGAAAACGTTGATGAGAAAACAAACAGTTTAACTCTATTTTGATGTGAAGAATAATAGTGTACATAGGAACAGTTATTTGTAGGTTTTCTGTAAATTTTAAATTTGAATTCATTATTACCCTTAATAATTAAAACATCTAGTAAAGGCAATGAGTTATTTTCTTCAAACTCAACAGTAAAGTTTATAGAATGGGCTAAGCTATTTAATTTGCCAAGGAAATGGTGTATATCTACATTCTTGGGCATAAGACACAAAATATCATCAAAATGTCTGAACCATTTAGCTCTATTAGGGAAGATTGTGTTAAGTAACCTTGTTTCAAAAAATTCCATGTATAGGTTTCTAAGAACAGATGAAAGAGGATTTCCCATTTCCATACCAAACTTCTGAGTGTAAAACTCATCATTAAATACAAATTTTGCATCAACAATGCATAGTTTAATAAGTTTAATGATAGTAGGAACTGGCAATGGGTAAATCATAATTAACAAGTTCTTCAGATAAGAAACTTAATAAATCATCAATAGGAATTTTCGTAAACAAGGAAGTAACACCAAAACTAACCATGTTAAAATCATTTAAGTCAGTCAAAGAGCTTAATTTATCAACTAAATCTATGTTGTTTTTAACATTAAAGTTAGAAATTTTACCAACAATAGGGCTCAAAATGTCAACAATCCATTTGGATAATTTATATGAAACTGATCCTATGGTGCTAATAATTGGTCTGACTGGATTCCCTGGTATGTGTGTTTTTATTAGTCCATACATGTAAGGTAAAGATGGATTAGTGGAAGTAAATTGTTTGATTAATTCATCTTTGCATTTCAATAGAAGTTTTAATGTTTTATTGAAATTGCTGTTAAAGGTTTCTAGGGGATTTTTTCTATGTTTAGAATAGGTTTCAGTATCATCTAAGAGATTATTCATTTTTTCTTGGTAATCATTTTCTTTCATAATTACTATTACATTTATTTTATCTGCTTTAGTAAGGCGCAATTTTTTATTGTTATTAAGTGTATTATTAGACTTAAAGAAGCTTTGAGGGCAATTGGGAATTTTTTGTTCTAACGTAGAGCTATATACCATTCCCTTACTAATAATAATTTCATCAGTGGATAAATCTTAGTAACCTATACATGGAATTTTTTGAAACAAGGCTGCTTAACACAATCCTCCCTAATAGAGCTAAATGGTTCAGATATGTGATGATATTTTGTGTCTTGTGCCCAAGAATGTAGATATACACCATTTCCTTGGCAAATTAAATAGCTTAGCCCATTCTATAAACTTTACTGTTGAATTTGAAGAAAATAACTCATTGCCTTTTCTAGATGTTTAAATTATTAAGGGAAATATTGAATTCAAATTTAAAATTTACAGAAAACCTACAAATAACTGTTCCTATGTCCACAATTATTCTTCACATCAAGATAGAGTTAAACTGTCTGTTTTCTCATCAATGTTTTTGAGAGCTTTACGAATTTGTAGTCCAGAGTTCATAGATGAAGAAATATCCAAAATTTATGAAATAGCTAATGATCTGAAATATCCAAGAAACGAAATTATAAATTTTTTAAAAAATGCTAGAAATACTTTTACAATCCAAAAGGCAACCAACCTTATTCAACTAAAAATATGTTAACATCAAAATGGTAAACAATACCGACAGTTGTTAGGTAAGACACATATGCAAAGTTAACAACTTTTTTCCCGAAAACTTTTCGCCTAACAGTAGCTTCTTCAGTCGAATACAGAAAATAGCAGGAACGTAGAGATGTGAAGACGATGTAATCAGTCATCACCCTTGTAGTCGTAGAATTTGAGTGTCAGTCCTCGGCTGGAGAAGTTCTTCCATATCAACTAGGAAACTGAACTTCTCCAGCGGCTGACAACTCAATTTTTACGACTTAAAGGGTGAGGACTGATTACATCGTCATCACATTCTACTTTAGTGCCTATTTCTGTAATTCGACTGAAGAAGCCTACGTGTAGGCGAAAACGTTTCGGAATAAAGTTGTCTAACTGTTGCATATGTGTCTTACCTAAAAATATGTTGGTTCTCCCTTACCATGAAAACTTGGTTGATATGCCTTGTCTTCTTAAGACTTTTAATATCAAAGTTGTATTTAAAAATCTTGATACAGTAAAAGAAACTTTTGATAAAGAATTCCCCCAAAATGCTGACGGATGTGTCTATAAGATTCGTTGTAAAATTTGCGATAAAGTGTATTAGGGTCAAACTAGTAAAAGTCTCGAACTCAGATTAAAACATCATAAATATAGCATTAGAACTGGAGAAGATTCCAATGCTCTATTCATTCATGTGAGAGATTTCAACCATCCAGTTGGTTTACAAAAAGTTGAGAAAGTTGTATCAAGCAAGTCCATGGTCGACAGGAATATAATTGAATCATGTTTCATATAAAGCAGTTTTGAAAATAATATGAATATTTCCTTTGG